GCTGAGCTAAAAGAACACATTGTTCTGCAACTCAGCAGGTAAAGTTCCAGAAACTCATCCTACGAGAGCAGGAAACACATTTTAAGGGCTGATTTGACAGAAAATCCTTCCCAAACTCCAATATTTTGGCTGCCCCATAATCAGAGTTAGGGCAGTGTTGGCCTACTGGTTAAAGCAGTGCGCTTTGTGCTTTGAGAAGGTTGCAAAATAACCGGTTTGATCCCCACAGCCTTCACTCTGGGTCGCTGAGCAAGAGCCTTAACCTCACACTGCTCCCCAACGGGATCAGTTAAATGCAGAGGTACATTTCTCCAGTTCAATTATTATTGTTAGTTCCATGTATTACATATAGAACTTGTGGGATCTTCTCCAAACTCTGTAGAGAGGCAGATTATACACTATAACACATAGGATTCCAGAAAAACATTAAGGATGAATGAGAGATAAGTAAAAATAGTTTGTAGGAATTATGTATAAGCCTTAATCAAACTTCTTCATTTTTAAATTCTGATTAAGAATAAAAAAAATTAAAAAAAAAGGTCATATTAATGGATTTTATGGATTAAAGGCAAATTCCTTAACTTTGCTCTGATCTTTATAGGAATAAAAAAAAAATCTAAGGCATTTCATCTCCCAGAATTCATCAGAAATAAAAAATTAACACATCCTCCAAATATAAAGTCATTATCTTAAGTAACTTTAACTCAGTTAATCTAGGGCAGGAGGGAACAAGTCACAGCAGGTTGGAGAAGCCTGTAGGAATTTAGTACTACTGACTTTTGAACTGGCAGAAAACATCTAGATGTTTTTTTTGTTTTTTTTTAAGGAGGATATGAGCTTTGAATCCAGCTTTTATTTATTTTTTTTAACTGCAGCAAGTTCTTGGAAAACAGAGAAAAGGGTGTGAGCAGCGGGAAATTTCTCTGTCACTCCTTCAGGTTTCCCAGAAAACATCTGATACTGAAATCAGTTTTACCATCTTACTGTGAGAAGACCTTTAGATGATTAAGATCACAAATGAGAAAATTAAACATTTTCTAAGCTGTTAAGAGCAGAATAAATAAATAAATAACAAAAAAAAGTCTTGTCTTCTTTATATTCAATTAAGTTATTTGGCCAAAGAACTGTCAAAAACAAAAACACATTTTCCAAGCATCACAATCATTTTTCTTTTTTTTTTTTTCCCTTTTTAGAAGATTTCTTTCTTTTTTCATAATATTTTCCTTTGTCTTTAGGCAAACAGGTGTGTTTACGAAAGAACAAGCTGAGACAGCCCTCATCCTGCGTTGGTTTGTGTCTGAATACAATGAAAACACCTGATGACTTTCCTGCAGGTGCGGGTTTAACATTTAGACCTTCATGGAAAAAACAGAAAATAAATAAATAAGGAAAGCCAGGATGTAACTGCGCCACCATCCGATGCGAAGCTTACCATTTTAGGAGTATACTTGGCTCCACTGCTCATGTAATCCATCGCTTCTCTAGTTTATTTTATACTTCAAAATGTCCCAAACGCTCCTTTTAATTCTCCGCTTTAGTTTTGTTAGTAGATGAAGCCCAGGCGGCTGGTTCCTAAGGTGAACCTGCAGGCCCAGCACTCAAAGAGCCTCACTGTAATCCACAGATTAAACAATAAAAAACTAAATATTTAAAAAAGAATAAACACGTGCAAAGAAAACAAACAAATAAATAAAAAACGACGGCAATTCAGATGAATCCGTTTCCTCTGAGATGTGGGTCAGTTTCCACCTGTAGCGAATATGAACACCTGAGAGTCTTCAAGGAGAATGTGGGATGAGAAAAAAAAAAAAAAAAAAGGGACCGTCTTCCGGGTTTCGGTTAGTTTCTGCGGGCGTGTCTCCACGCGCCTCCCACGTCCACCTGCACTCACTTCCTGTTTACCTGAGAGAACAGAGGCTGCAGGATTAACATGATCAGACAAAGGATCATACTACTCTACCATCATACATGTATATATATATTCTGGACAGAATTGTGATCATTTTAACAGACAGGTTCAGACTGAAATGGCCTTCCTATGGTATGGTTTCAGTCAGCTTGCCCACAGCTATTCACGTGATCTTATTCACGTATCAGTTGTGGGTTCATGACTCATTCTGAGTCATCTCTATTGCCAGCATCGGAACCAAAACGTTGCATTAAACTAAAAAAAAAAAAACATAGAAACTGATGTTCTCTCTAAATAATAATAAAAAAACAATAAAACAAAGTGTAGCCTTCAGAAAATGATCAGTAAATATATTTGATTAATTTATCTTCCTTGTATACTTAAATAGTTAAAGCATTTATTAAAAGTCATTTAAAAAAGTTTTCATTGGTCTAGAATCATTTCAAGTTTCACTGGTGTCTTCCCAGAGGTAAAAATCTGGATTTTTAATCTGAGAGATTAAACATAAAGTCACTTATTTGTGGTTTTTGAACTTGCACACTTATATCTGTGAAGCAAAAAAAGTTAAACTGTTTCCATTCATCTTTGCACAGATATTGCAAACAATAAGTTCAGATTTACTGACAATAACACAAAATGTATTCTGGAGAGATAGTTTATCTTTGTCAGCATCACTGATATTATTTAGACTTACAACTAGTGTGATTGGGTCTAGAGAGAGACCATACTTATTAAAGAGGCGTCCATTAGAGAGGAGAAGCTTTTTGGATCGGATCATTTTGGATCACTAATGTAAGGAAATAGTATTTTATAAATAACTTGGGACAAATGTTGATGTCAAATTGATGCATTTCATAATTTTAGAGCCCATCTTAAAAAGAGGTGAACTGAAGTTAATGTGTTTTAATAAAGTTGATGCTTTTTAATAAAGTATTTTAAACCACAAGTCTAAAATGTCAAGATTATAATGCAGAGTAATTTTACCGTTTCTGACTTGTGATATAGTCCTCCATCATTCTGGAAGATACACAGATGATATCCAAGATGTTTCTAAAATGTTGGAAGAAGTTTCTCTTGGAGGAAAAATGAAATAAACAAATAATCTTTTCAACTTTCTTAATAAGCAGGAAGAGGATGAAAAAAGAAGTAACTTTGTACATCTTGCTAAATTTCAATCTAACCTCGATTTCTTTCTTCAGCCAAGATAGCTTTAGTTCCCCTTTTTAACCTTCATTATTTTGTCATCACCAAACATATAAAGCTTAATATTTAAAGGAACCCAGTTTGCTGCCTCATGGTATGCCAGGAAACTGCAGCAGAGCCTCTTTTAAAGATATATGAATCCGTTTTGTTAAACATCTTTTGCTCAGTCAACTTTCTCTATCAATAAAAGGAATAATTTGGGTCACATCCCCTGCTTTTAATCCTCAATCTTTTAGAAAAATCAAGAATTATTTTTTTTTGAAAGTTTGCGGACTAATGTCAAATATTTAGTATTAGTGATTTCTTTTATCTGTTATTTTTGATTCTCATCCCTCTTTAAATTATCTTTTTTTTTTCTCTTGAAAAAAAAGCAAGGATGTGAAAATAAGTTGGTAATTACAAAGCCCAGACAAGTAACTTTGTGAAACAGATTTGATTGTCTTTCATCAAATAAACATGAATGTTTAAAAAAAAAACCTTGTAGTTACCTGCTGTTGATGTGGAGCAAGCTCTGCCCTGGTGGCAACATGCTGCAGCAATAGAGCTTTCTAGGCACTTCCAAGGGATTTTTAAACAACATTCTTTTTTGCACCCACATCTGTTATACAGTAACTACACAGCAGACCAGTTTCAGAGCTGTTATTCTACAGACTAATTTCCTTTTAAAACTTACTCTGTGTTGAAAATTGTAGCCAGAGCTTGCAAAATGCCCTAATTTCTCTTGCAATACTTTCAAAGTGACATCTTCCATTAAATCATTAAAAAAGACAAGACACATTCATTTGTTTGTTGTGATTTTATTGATGTGTAACCCCTCGTAACTATAAACCTGTTTCCATTGGTGTTGATCCTTTTTAAGTCACTAATATGCATATTATAATTAGAGTTCCCAGTCGTCTTCCACAATCAAGCAGGCAGTTACAAGATCGAAGCTGTTTGGGTGCATAGTGAGACAGTCACATACAGATATACTGTCACAAAGAGGAAAAAAGAAACTGGAAAATAAAATCAAAAATAGATTTCATATTATTTCATATAAGAACAAAGCACATCACAGAAATCCTCTGAAGAAAGAAAAGCCATGATTGCAACATCAACTATACAGGCATACAAAGACGATACTAAGATAGAGAGGGTTAGGATTTCATTGTTTTGTTTCATTCTCTACCTGTAAAAAATCACTCGTCGGCTTTCTGTGTGTCAGAATTCAGCTCTCTGAGCGCCTCAGTCTGCCTACACAGACCTCCAGCTCCAGCTGCATATAAGTGGCTTCTGATCCTGGGCTGGTCCAGCCTTTGCAGGTAGCACAAACCTTTGCATTCGTGAATGTTTTTCTTGTTAATGTAGACTTTGGACCCTCTGCCCAGTTTGGATTCATTAAGCAGCTGAATACCAGCACAGCTTCCTGCAATAAGGGTGCGTCTCCTCCACAAACTTGCTTCGTATTTTTCAACATGTGTATATCTGGATATGTGCAAAATATGTAAAAGGAATTACTTAAAAAAAGGGAATTTCTCATATACATAGTGCGGAAAATTACATTCAACTGTACCATTTGGACATCCACAAATTTTACATTTTCCTAACTAACAAAAGGTGTTTGTGTGAATGAGGAAATGAAGATGTTCACTCATTATTATCACTGTTGTCTGTTGTATGTGTGTTTGTGGCAGGGGTGTATATATTATTTCAGCAGTTTAGGCAAACTTTGAGTCTGATTGCCTTGCTGTGTCCGTTTAGCATTTCAATTTTTCTTTTACAAAGTTGACTTTAACGAGCTAATGGCAGAGTAAAATCTGAAGCAAAAGGGTAGACATTCACTGAATAAAGTTTTTTTTTTTTTTTTTAGATGCGTTTGAGCTGGGGGTCTGTGCAGATCATCCAGATCATCTCCCTCTTTAACGCCTGCCTTGCAAACATTCGTAACCATCACATAAAAAACAAGACAGGAAAATAAAAAAAAACCCAAACCAATTCATAATGTATTCCTTTGAGAAAAAAAGTGGAATAAAAACATCTAATTTGATATATATATATATATATATATTTATGTATATCTAAACATTTCATGTATATTTGTTATTATAACAAAGCAAAGAAATAAATCATGAATTTATCCCCCCTCCCCATTTGTTTCTTGTTTTTTTTTCACTAAATATTTTGATTGGTACAAAGAACCTTCATATACAAGCGATCTATTGAGATTAAAAAGAACACATTAAAACACCGATTATTTAATGAAACCCATCAGTCTGCATGGTGAAAAAAACCCGAACTAAATGTAGTGCCAGTTTGATGACTAAAGAAACTTGATTTGTTTTTCACATCATAAAAATTTCAGAAGAAATGTTATACATCTTGATCTGTCTTGATAATTACAGATAAATCTTTTTCTATTTTGCGAATTGGCAGAAACATCAGACACATGGTCAAAAAGAGCTCTATAGTACAACAGTAGCAGTAGTAGAAGCGTTACTTAAGGATTGTTCTGAACAAACCGGTAAATGGAGTTTGGATGTATGCAAAGGATTTTAACAATAGCATCATTTGTTATTGGTCAGTAGTATGTTCCCCCTGTCAGAGACTGTCCTCAGCCAGGCTCCACGGCGCCCCCTCCAGGTTCAGGTTAGATCTGCATCTGCTCCAGGTATTTGTAGGTGGGGTTTTCATAGCCGTGGTTCTGCATCTTGTTTAGGTGTCGCTCCTCTGGCGTCAGCATGGGGTCCACCTGGGAGTTAAACATAACTTTTCAGAGGGAGTCAACCATTTTGTGCGATGAAACCAAACAACTTAGGAGTTTAATTTGCTCTGCAGCTACTTCTGTGCAGCATTTTTTACACATCAGTTGTAACCTGGCCTATTATGAGCGCACCCTTGTTTTTTATTCGGACCCTTACCTCTACGATGCCGTGGCTGATGGTGCCGTACTGCCTTTTTCTCAGAAGCACCAGGCTGATCACAATCACAGTTGCTATGGCCACAGCGATCACCAGCAGGCCAATCAGTGCGGTGCTGCTAAAGCTGAAGTCCCCTCCCAGGGGGCGGTAGGACTCCTGATAGCGGAGCAAAGTGAGAGGAGGAAATTACAGAGAAGAATGAGGCAATGCATGTAAACACAGCTCTATTGATAGACCAGTTAGGCTGGAGAGATGGAGACTCGTTTTACTCATTGTCATTTAGACTTCAAACTAAGCGGCTTTATGTTATCACTTTAAAATATAACATTCTAAAAAGTAAGGCCGACATTTTGAATTTATTTCTCTGTCTGAAAATAATCAAATTTTTCCTGTTATTTGCACACTGAAGAAAAAAAAGCAAAGAAAAACCATGTGCCGTGGTTTAGGCGATCTTCAAGACACAACTATCAGCTTCTACATTTAACTGAACATATTTCTCTGCATCCATCAGCAGAAATGTCATTTTACCTCAGAAAAAAAGGGTTGTATTTATTTCCTCCCAAATCAATGCAACACAATCTATACGCTTGTGTTTGCTGCAGGCTCTGATCTCATATCTCAGCAGGTGAGGTGCTGAGTAAATGATGATCAATAGCAAAATTAGAGAGAGAGACATAGGAATACTGAATTTTTAGATAAAAATAGAAGTGCCTCATTTTTTTTTACATTTTGGACATAAAATCAGTTTGAATATAAAGAATATTTAGATAAAAAAATAATGAAATACAAATTATTCAGAGGAGATGATGGGAAATATGACTTTTTACAGATCAAAGGCCCTCAAAGTGCCTTTGAAGTGCAGAAATCAATCAACTAGAGGAGTTTTGACCCGCTGTGCATCAGGGTCAACAGCTAGCTCACTCAGACTGAAGAAGGACAGAGTGGACACAATCGTGCCAAATGCTGTTTATGGATTACCGGCTCAATTTCATGTCAAATCAACCAAGCCATCGGCACATCTAATCAAATTACTCTCTATCCCAGATCTCATCGAAATATATGAACGACCTGAGAGGGAAAGCCTTGAGCAATCCTTCCAGGTCAGTAACATTTTTTTAAAAGCATAAGCAACTAAACAATAATTAGTTAAATATATTGGAATAATTCACTTTTGATCACCTTTAGCAAAAAGAAAGAAAACTAGACTATTGGTTAAAATTTGGTGAAAGTCTAGTTGATGATTTAAGATCCATTGTGCAAAACTAAGATTTGTAAAATTAGCTGTTTAACAGTTTTCATATTCAGGCAAAGTCTAAAAGTTAATGATAAATACTATTATATATTGCATCCCATAAAATTGTAAAACAGTCGACTAGTTTATAGTGTTGGTAGTTTTTCTCACTTTACACCTTTTTACTTTAATATGAAGTTCTGATTAGTCATTATTAATGAAATAACGGATAGTTTGTTAATAAATACTGAAAAATCAGATATTAATTGTTTGATAATCATGTGTTTTGCCAAGTAAATTATGATAATAGAAAGAGAACTGAAAGATTAAGATAAGAGAGCGAGAAACCAACGTCTATCTAAGAACTAACTTTCGATTAACAGTGTTTTCCCCATTAGCGGTAGAACAAACTGCTGATTTTATAATTAAATTACAGTTATAGCCTAGGCTAGCATTGACATCATCCAGTATTAGCATAGCAAATACAAGCATTAACAATTAGCCATATTTTTAGCTCATATAAAGCAGCTCAGTTATTATCAGTTACTTTCGATCTCTTGCAGTTGGAACTCAATAAGCCAATCATCATTAGATTCAATGGTTAAGTTGTCATTTTGTTATTTCACTTCTTCCTGTTTTTTATTATTCCTGTGTGATTCAACATTTTTTATCGCCCAAATAAGAATAAGGATGGTAAATCCATATCTAAATCCTAATCTTCTTACTCTAAATTAACAGAAAATTCCCACTGACTTGAGGAAACTGGGAAGAAAACTGTTTTCTCATCAGAGCTGGTGTTTCGTCACAACCTGCTTTTCTACATTCACATAATTTGGCACATATGACACAGTCTGATCATATGTGGACGGAGGCAGGGGGGAATTTACGCAACTCATTCCCACACAAAAACTGAGCCACGTCAGTTTCTGTAGATATTTCCATACGTGTACATTCTGGTACATTCACATAACAAACATGCTCCCATGCAGGAATGATAAATTAAATTTCTCTTTTTTTTTTTGCTTGAATAAAATACAAAAATTACAAAACAAAATAAAGGGAGGGGGGACAAAGAGGGTCTGCTAAAACATAGTTTGGTTGCACACTTCTACACTCTCCTCCTCTCACCTTCTCCCCACTAACAGTAGCTGTAGTTCCCCAGAGAGCCCAGAGGAGGGCGCAGCTATACTCACCAGCTCATCACCATGCATAACGCTGACTCTCTCAGCACTGTAAACCACTTCCTTAACATCCAGAGACTCATCAATCACCTGTCAACACAGACAGGGGAGCCCAGGTTACACTCACAACAATGTGTGTGTGTGAGAAATAATTTGCCTTTTTTTCTTCCTTCTTTTAGACAGAAATGGAGAGGCAGGAAAGCAAGAGAGTGTGAATGTGCAGCAGTGTTTAGGTGATGAAACGCTTAAAGTTTTCTTTTCTCAAACTGGAAGGAGAGAGGGAGGGGTGTTGCAAGCATTATTAACATGCAGCGGATTTAATTGTCTGCACACCCTTCTTACAGTGCTGCATATTTATTATGTCAAGTGTAAAAAAATAGAGCAATCAATCCATCAATAGTCCCATTAGAAAAAAAATGTTAATGATAACATTATCATAGCATCATTTTTTTACGTAAACAGAACACAATATTTAATAGGGTGTTTAGACTTTTTCTTTCCACTTGAATTTTTGCGGTCACACACCAAACGTTTCTTATTAAACAAATCAGCAGCATCTTTTTACTCATTACTGGATCAGTGGGATATGGGCAGGGCTTTCAGGAGATAGAGAGAAGTAAAAAAATCTTTTTTTTGTTTTGCAGAAAAATACAGATTTTCTGTAGTAGAGAAGATATTTTATTCAAGGGTAATTTCACCTTCAGATTGCTCTATCTCAGGAAAACAGCCTGTCTAAAAGCAAAGCTCATGCATCATAGCCCTCATCATGCACACAAACATGAAGCTTCTTGGTTGGGTGTTGGCATGCAGAACACAAGATGCACACAGAGGCCAAACATGGTTGGAAAATCCATGAGGAGGCCTGGTGAGTTTGGCGAGGGAAAGTGACATGCAGTGACTGCTTGAACGGAGCGTGGAGCCGATTTGCATGAAGAGCGACTAGAGGAAGCCACACACAGACAGCCCAAATAGCCCAGAGTGAGACGGATGTAACTATGACAACATAGTTACTGGAATAATCCGTCACAGTAAAAGCTGAAATTAAGAGAGCCGTGTGAAAGCGCCTGCTAGTTTCATCCGTCTCAATCTTCCTCTGCGCCTCACAGACATCAGGGCAATGAAATGAACCCGTCTGGAGTTTGCTCTGTGTTCGGCTTTAACAAAGCTGCTCGCAGGTCACAGATGACAAACACTTACCACGTTTTCTCCCATCTTCGGCTTGCTGTTGATGATTCTCTCCTCGGCGCCGATCAGACCATCCAGACCAGCCATGGCAGAGCCTTGAGGAGGTACAGGAGGCCCGGTCAGTAATGCCACATAGACACAAACAGACAAAACAAACAGACAAACAGGGGTGGGGATGTTGGTGGCCGATAGCTGCACAAAGGCATCCAAGATCTTTTCGTCACAACTGTTGCATCAGTCGTATTAGTCGACTGGTGACAACAAAACCCTTTCTCCCATTCAGCACAGAGACAGGACTGTGAACACTGCACTGTGCTGCCACAAAGGCCCTCTCAAACTGGAGATACGCCTGTAGACATCTAGATTTATGCAATCTCTCAATGGTAGCTCTGCAAAAGATTCATTTTCCAATAACTACACCAGCATTTGAAAGAAAGGAGACAATGATTCCCTCTAAAAAGCTGAGTAAAATTAGCCCCTGCAGGGGGAGCATGGAGGTGGAGGTCAGGCAGCTGCAAAGACGCTCGGAAAACAGTAAGACCTGTCTGCAGAGCAGCTAAGATGTTTAAACAACCAACACTATACAATGCAAAGAAAAATGTGATAACTATTTAATTTATGTATTAAACTACTCTATAATAAAGGCATCAGATTGGACATTTTCTCTTTGAGGACAAATCAACATCAGTGGACAAATTTTCCATAGTAGGAGTGACTCTTATAAGACAGGGTTGTACAGCACCTTATAGAAAAATCAAACCAATTGAATTGTTTCCTTATTTAACCTCTTAACATCCTCCTCATTTGGAAAATTCTCGCCTATTTTACATACCCAAATAGAAAGGCAAACTGAGGAACTGTAAGCCCAATTTACATGTGTGATACATTATTTGAAATTTAACACCCTCTAGTTTCTGAATATATTAATGAAAATTGGGTGAGTAAAACACAGCCTAAGCTGCATCAGTTCAAACATGAATCAAAGTGGTTTTTTGTATTTTCAAAAATAATAGGTCTTTTTTGAACAGCAGTACTAAAGACATGCTTGCTTGTTGTGGCTGCTTTGTCATGTTTACATTTTAACATGCTGCTATATGTGTGAATTGTACTTTGGTGCTCGCTATGTCCAGAAAATGAACTTGGTGGTTGAATTGTGGAGAATCTAAGCTTTCCAATGATATCTAATATGTCCATATTGGTAAACACTTTACCAGTGTAATTTTCATGCATTCTGAGTTATTAATTTTAAACACTATAAAATGGTGGGTTTTGAGAGGTAAAAAAAAAAAAATCTGTTTCTTAGAACTTTAGGTCTAAAGTTGAGGAAATCAGAAAATACATAAGAGGACATGGGGCAAGTCAGGAAAGCAGCAGAAAACACTACAGATCATGGATGAAGCAACAAACGGGGCAATTCAGGAAAAAACAAGCTAGACTGGAAAAGATCAGTGTAAATGCTTCCTTCCAAATAAACAACAGGCATAAACATGCAGTCAGAGCTGCAGTAGGATGGTTTACATCAAAGCATATTCATGTGTCAAAGTCTGGACATAGATGCTTCCCCCCATTAGTTATTCTACATATCAATTTAGTGGTACAGTAAATATAGGGAGGCCATATTTTCGGGTTTAATCTCTCTAAAATGGAAAAACCGTGCATATCCCACTTAGTGTTGGCAGATTAAAAAACATTGTTACTTGTGCTTTTTACTGTTATTAAATGTGAAAGATGGAGGGAATATGATAACTTTGAAATAATAACATCGAACAGAAGGCAAAGAATTTTATAAATGTGCACAATCACAAATTCCTCATAGACACAAAAGTCTAGTTCCTCGCTGCTCGTGAAAGTGCATCATCTAAACTTCATCTGTTTTACTCTTTCCTGTCTGGACAGCAAATTATACAGTGGAGAAAATGTCACCTTTTTTTTAAATAACAGATTTTATGCTACTAATAAAAGATAATCAATGAGAGAAATGATTAATAATCAATTTCCTAAGACGATTTACTGCACCAACCAAAGTAGCTAACTCTTTTCCTTGGTTAGAGACGATGAGAGACATGATCATTGCCTTGATCACAGACTCAAACCATCATAAAAATATATCTCCATCCAGGCAGCCAGAAAATTCTTGTATCTTTTAAGGTAGTGTTGATCGATAGTCCTCCAGGCTGTTGAATGCCTGGTGTTTTAGGATTAAAGCATAAAGAGGGTAGGGAGGCTTTAAAACTTGCATTAGTCTCTGGATTTGTAGGACATCACACAAGTTCATGTTGAAGTTTTGAACATTGAGTTCAGAGCAGAGCTCTACATTTCACAGCTCCAATTAGAAACTAGACGGCTGGTGAGAAAAATATCCATGAGGTTGGTGGAATAATTACAGTGAGAGGCAACAGACTGACGAATCTTTCTGAGAGAGGATGTTAAAGCTACCAGCTTTTCTACAAAGCATGAGGTGATAATCCAGATATATGGAATAAAAGAATAAACAGCAAATGATAAGTGATTAAATCAGGGTGGTCAGTAAGAAAGGGTCAGAGGGAGAGGAAAAGCAAAGGAGAAAAGGTAAAAATGGAGATGGCTTAGTTGGATGAGGAAAACAAGACGCAACAGAGGCACCCACCTTTCTTGAAGGCACGTGGGGAGTCTGCTAGGTCGCCTTGACGTTAGAAATGACCAACAGAAAAACAGAAGATCAGAAAAGGGGACGAAGAGAAGAAAGAAAACTTAGGTGAGAAGAGAAAGGCAGGATTATCAAGCTCTGTTAACTGATTGACCAAAGAGCTGAGCAGGGAGGAGCAGGAAAATAAATGAGAGAATTTAAAAAACAGAAGCTGTTTGAGAATTGGCAGCCCTGTCTCAGCCCTCTGGGCCGCTGGCTCATATCTTAAACGCTCTTCGGGGGTTTGATTGTAATTTGCCTTCCTTCTTGCTGGAAGTATTCCATCCATCATTTTTCTCTCTCCTTAAGGAGTCAGTCTTTTGTTTGTGATGAAAAATGAAGCCCAAACTGTTCATTTTCCCCTGAAGCGACTGGCTGCAGCTCAGCTTGATCTGAACGGTGGAGCTTTGTTAAAGGCTCGGCCTCGGGGAAACGTGGAGACGCAGATAAGCCTCGTGCCTCGACTCCACCACACGTTCTCATCAGTTTACAACACACTGGCAGCCCTTCTCTGTCAGCTAGCAGCGGCTGTGACGCGCTCCAACGCCAGCGCCCTTCAGAAACACTTTAGTGTGAGACCGGCTGCACCTGCAGCCACAGTGCTGTTCCTCATGCTGCATACCTTCTGGCTCCGGGCGGGACCCCAGGGACTTGACCTGGATGGGCCGGTAGGGTTTGCCCTCAGAGTAGGGGATTACCACGCCCTCCTCCGACGGCACGGTGACGTCAGGCTGTGATTCAGAGATGGAGGACAGGAACTGGTCCATGTCAGCCTTCTGCTCCTGGAGCAGCTCGTCTACAGAAGAACAAATTAGAATATCCTTGTCAGCCTCCAGGTGTGGTAATAATCCTTCCAGTAATGCTTCATTCAAACAACAGATTCATTACTTTGTATTTAAGAATCAACACATGAAGAAAAAGGTGCATTAAGTGCATTTCTTCCTAATTCAATTATTATAACTAAGATTATTATAAGTAATTTGATATAATTTCCATATTTATTGTATTGTATATTTTTTTGATCAATCTATTTAAATACCAGTGATGATCCATTTCACTCATTAATGGATTTATCCTGATCTGATCATCATGAAGATTGCTGCTTCCTCTCTGTCCTTTTAAACGACATCCACATGATTTAGCTCGTAAGCTTTTACAGTTTGTTTCTAATTGCCCCCTATTTACTGCTCTAAAGTGTTTTGTAAACAAAGACTAACTGGTTTATTGAGTGCAACATAACCTGAGCTTCTAAAAACAAAAGGCAGATGATTCTGAAAGTAATTCTGCTGTAGAATTTGGACATAGGGCAAAATCACGGTTTTAAGTGAACCACAAAGTAAATCAGGATAAAATCTTTTAATCAGTCTTAAAACTATTTTTCTTTAAACCAAAGTCTAAGAAGTTCTTTGGTTTTAGAAAACAGCAATGAAATTTGTGGCATTTTATAAATGTTACTGATACAGAAATGGTTCAATTTAGGGATTATCAATCAACTCATCTTACAAACATCATTCATTTTTTTGTTTAAAAAAAAATTATTGTTTTTAAAATAATCCTCCATCTTAATGTGCAACTTTTAATTTCTTTGTCTATATGTGTTGCCTTTATGCACTTTCCTTTCTTTTTTTCTTTTCTCATGTACAACACTTTAAATTGTCTATATAAATAAACTTGCTTTGCTTAAAATGGTTCTTTTTTCTTGCGTAAAATGATCATCCAAACTACAACCACCAGGAATAAAAATAAAAAGGTTTGGGCACACAAATCTGAAAACAATAAATTAGGGCTTAAATTACATACAAAAACTCATCCAGTAATATTTGGATAAATGTCTCTTAGATCATTGCAGAGGAACTGTGATCTGTGATCCACAGGCTTCAGGCGTTAGTGAGATGTTTGACCAATTATTCTAATTAGAAAGTTTTGTTGGGATTTTTTGTGTAATTTTTCTGTTAAAATACACATTTCAGCTATTTATCTATTGATCTGAGGCAATGTTTTAGTGTTTATCATTTTAATCCTGAGCTGATTGAAAAAACTCTCCATAAATTTATCAAACTTGTGCCTCGCTTTTCTGCTTAGTTAATTCCCTGAAGTGGTAATCTGTATGTTCTTTCAAGTTTGGAAAAAAAACAGTTAAAACGAATAATTAATAGCCTCAAATTATTATTTAAGCATATGATGAGTGTTTACATATTTCTGAGTGGAACTATAGAAAGAAAGAAAATCACCAGATACTGTTTTTTTTCTGCCATTTTTCTAAGAGTGGCGCCAGCTTCTGTTCCTGCTAACTACCAATTAGTGTTTCTCTGAAAGATGTTTTTCACAAAACTCAGCTCTGGATTTCCCAAACGAACGCCGCTCAGTGAAAGCCGTGACCCAGTTCTGTCATTACCGTAACTCAACTTTAATTTATGCTTCAACTTTAGAGCTCCCAAATAAAGCAAAGAAAACTGGGGAACATTTTAAAATTCTAAAATTGAGATAACTAGTAAAGCATAAAAGCAAGAGCTCCTGATGGGAATGGCCTTGGAAACAGAAGGGGGGATGTCTTTGTTAAATTTTTTCATCACCAGCTCATGGTGGAAGATAAGACAATGCTGTAGTGTGTCTGAATAATTGGGTCACATCGACACATTTAAACCAACCGTTGGGTCCTTGCTTGCATTTATATTTCATTTTAGCAAGAAGGGAAAAAAAAGGGATTGCTTCAGATCAAAATAAAAATCCATGCAAGCTGCAGAAAATGAAAGGTGTTGGATTTATCTCCCTGACACGAGTGTGAATTTCATTTTCACTTCATTCTCCAGCCGGCGGCCGGAGGGGCTCAGACTGAACGAGACTCACCAATTTCATCCTGAATCTCCTCGGCCACGTAAGGTACTTTGTAGAGGAGAGATAGACTCTGGTTCATCCTCTCCTCGATCACCCGCAGGTGGGTCATCACCTGAAATCAGGAAAGCAGAAAAATAAGGAGTTAAGCAAACAGAATACTGATGTTTGGGGTTTTAAATAAAGCTAGATCTGTGATTGTGTTATGCAGGTTTTTGAAAGCAAACAACTGATTTCAGAGTCATTAATGAAAGATGTTAGGAGACAAATAAATCAGCCATTTAAATTGCTGTTCATCAAATTCATACTGGAACCTTCAGCTGACATATACATTAACCAGCCTCTGAGGAAACTCACTCAGACTTCAAAATATGTTTTTACTTTTTGCTCAATTTTACTGCTTTTGTAATTAATTGGACACATTTTTTTAATTTTTTAATTAAGATTGAAAAAACAGTAAATTGAAAACTGAAATCAATGTCCATCAATAGAAGAATGCCGACATGTTTCCTCAATAATGTTGAAACCTGCTCACACAGCAGCTGACCGAGCGCTGCAGGAGGGAATTTCTCATGCAGTTGATAAATTTGCACCATAAACATTCAGCTTGACTGAGATCTTGACTATTTGCATGCGTTGATCTGCTTGTCCTGTTTCTTTTCTCTCTACTTTCTCTCCTCACCTGAACAAAGCATCATCTTTCAATCATGATTTTATAGTCATCAGCAACTCACTCAAGATTGATGGAAAGAGAAAACGTCGACCTCTGCTGTCACATAGAGGTGATAATGCCACCTGCCCTGCTACTTTATCTGACATGCATATTCAACTCCATTCATTTCAAAAATACTTTATTAATTCCCAAGGGAAATTAAATGTTGCAGTAACTCATAAGTTATATAATCACTAAAGGTAAATTTGCTACAGAAGAGGCTGTTTTTTTTTTTTTGTTAGGATACTTTCTTCATTTCAAAGATTTCAGACTAGCACAGGTTCAACCTTCAAGCATTTTGTAACCAACTTTTTAAAGTAGATATAGAATAGAAATAGAAGGATGGATGATGAACAATAAAATAAAATCTGAATTAATCTTAGAAGAGAAACCTTAGGAATCCCTTCATAAATATGAAATAAATACAAGACAACCACGATCCCAGATGACCGACTGATTCCACCTTGTCATTTTAAAAATGCACAGGTACGGAAATTAACTCTCCAGGTTAGAACATTTTCAACTGGATGAACTCAGGATTGTTCAAGCCTCAAACATGAAACACAAAACAAGCTGAGGCATGTAATATTTTCTTCCCTCAGAGCTCATGTGACAGGATCTGCTGCTTATCAGCTCCAGTCTTTAACCACATCACAGGCTTAAAAGACATCTCAAGTTTCAGAAAAGGCTCAAAGGGCATATTTCCTACTGTCTGTCTGTAAAGAAACCATATAACAATAATAGACCTTTTCTGACAAAGACTGATCGTCACAAGATAACAACTGTCCTCAGACAGCTGATGTTTACCGCATGTTTTATCATGCAGTGCCTGAGAATAAGCAACAGGTGGCACTAAAGCACCTTTACCATTAGCAGCAGACTGAAGCCTGTGGCTCCTTCCTGACAAACAACCCTCATCAGGAAATATTAAACATCTCGAAGCAAGAGCAGAAATTCTGATGCATTTAGCAATCTCTCTAACTGCAGATATTTGAAGTTATTATGACAGAAGAGCAGATGTAAACTCTCGAAATAAGGGTTTAATAAAGCAGCAATTCTTGCTGATGAGTCACAAAGGAACAACTGACAGTGAAAGCAGGCCCACATCTACTTTTATTGGAATAAAAACCCTCTATCCTCCCTGGACGCCCATGTTCCAACTCCTTGTTTTGTTTCATCCATCTGTTGTGTTATCTAGAAACTTTAAACGGAGTCAAAGGGCACCAACAGACAGTAATGTGCACAGAGTGGAGGAGATTCCACCCTAATCCCTGCGCCAGCAGCTCAGAGTCCAGCGTTACACAAGACCTGTGCCGTGTTAATCTCCAGCTCAGGCTGAAGTGAATGAAACATCCGCCCTCCTCCCGGACTCCAACTCAGAGACACACGCTCTCCATGCCGCCCACACGTTAACAAACAGGGCAGAGAGGTGCACACGGATACATCATTATCCCTGGTCTGTCTGAGCAGCACCAGGAGGAGGACCAACATCAGCTCGCCACACGCTTTCAAATTTATCATGCAGAAATCTCCACACATGATAAAGATCTACATCTTTCACAGACTAAAATATCCAGAATTTTCTGACATTTTGCAAGGACTGTTGAAAAAAATCCAATATATATATTGGCAGGATAGTTGGAGATGAACAGATGAAATATCACTTAGACATAACACTGGAATATGGTTATTGTTGACAAGAAGCTTGGAAATGAGCAAACATTCTNTTTCTGACATTTTGCAAGGACTTCTAAAAGACAGACTTTAAATAGACTGTAAGGATAGTTGGAGATGAACAGATGAAATATCACTTAGACATAACACTGGAATATGGTTATTGTTGACAAGAAGCTTGGAAATGAGCAAACATTCTGTCACAGAATAATACTTTATAATTCAAGTGCAGTTTAGTTTAGTTTATGAAACAAACTTCATGAAATATGCCAGAGAAAATGAGGTAACCAGACAACCACTAGGGCTAAAACATTAAAGATCATGCAAATTAGAAATAAATGTGTGTTCTCAGTTTGTCACACCACAGAAATATGTTTTATTAATCCCTCCACCAACTTTGAATGATTAAAAACGCAACTAAACATATAAAATTAGGTCAAAATAATGAAAATACGTCTAAGTTCTCTGCCCAGAGATGCTGGGTTGTGTCCATCAGGGTCGCTGAAACGAAGCCCACATGCTATTCTATCTCTCTGCAAAGGTTTTGAACTAAAAGAAATACAATAAATATAATATCTATACTCTAATATTTAATTCAGGAGGGGGATCAGTTATTGTGGGACTCAGGTTCAATGAGGAGAGTCTCTCTAAATGCAGACAGGCTGCAGCTGCTGCGTCTGAGTCCCTGTGTTTTGGAGGAGGGAGGGGCTCGTTCACAAACTGTTCATTGAAGGCATGATGAGATGAGGCTGCATTTTTAGACACACCCAAGAAATCCTCAAACATAGGAATATTGAAACAGAAACTTAATTCTAGAGCTACAGTGTAATCATAAAAGGCCGGGAGACTTTTTCACCTATGTCATTTATAATGTGTTTAGTAGACAATTTACACGGTCTTCAAAGTTGATATTTTAAAAAAATATTTGCAGTAATCCCCAGGTTAGTTAAGCTAACGGGATAAAACCACCAACCTGAGACTTCATCTGAGCTGCTTTCTCCGGATCCACAGCCAGGACATGTTGGTAGTGGCGGATGGTGTGTTGGCGGTCCTTGTTCTCGGCACGGACGTACTTTCTAAGGGCCTGCAGGATACGGTGGGGCTGAAACACAAATGGTCAAACATCTTCAGGCTCACATTTTAATTTATGAATTCAACCCTTTAAACTGATCCTAGTTAACATCAAATTAAGATGTGTTAAAGGCTGCCAGAAAAAAGGAGAACAATAACCTGGTGCATGGAGCAGAAAACACATTTTTATTGATTTTTTTAACATAATCCTGAAATTTGGAAGTAATACTATTTTGATGACAGTTAAAAATTTTGCTTGGGGAAAAAATAACCCTATTAAATAAAAGGAACTTATAAAGGAAATTATTATTTCAACAGAAGATTTCTAGATTGCAATTTTATTTTCAGTTCTTCATTTAGAAACAAATACAATTAAATTAGTAAATTAGATCTTCTGTCTTTTTTGCTCTGATCTTTTTTTTTCTCTGATCATTGATCTCAGCCAATAAACCTCTAACCTGGGGAACTATGGGCTGTTTGTGATCCTTGGAATGAGCAGTTCAAGAATGATACTAATTTTCGGAGCAATGACCTGTTTGGCATTTCAATATATTTTGACCAAAACTCCTTTTAAAATGTAAAATATTAGGAACAACTGAGTAACCAAAGTAAGCTACCCCCATTTATTAACTTTTGGTTCATATATTTATATTTTTATTTTTTGTGTGTATACTAGCAATTTGAGCTTATATATATGTGTGTTAAATCTTTATACATACAGCTGGCAAACACGTTGACAATAAAGTGTTTTGGAAGAAATTCAAATTTAGTCGTTACCTTTTTTCTTAAAGATTTTGTTTCTGAAAATAATGATATAATGAGTGACTTTGCAAAAATCTCTCAAATTAAAATGCATCCAAGGGGCACAGCTGTTCTTTTTCTATTCATCAATTATGTACAATTAGTCTAAAAATGCCTTGAGTAATTGATATGTTCAGAAAATCTGATTATTAATCTCTGTTTTTTTTTTATGTCTCCTAATTTATTGCTTCCATACCTGAAGAAACCCCCCGATTTTTTGACTCCTTAATACTAAAGAAGGAGAGCTGAGCCTTAAACTGGGGTAAATGAGGGCTCTTCTTACCCTGGGAGGGTCCGCCTGCAGGGCAGCCAGGTAGTTCTCCAAGGCTATGCGGCGGCGGTCGTTCAGCATAGCCTCCACTCGGGCGAGGTGAGTCTCCACCAGCTGCTGCTTCTCGCTGGCAGCCTCCTCCTCCAGGGACTCCACCATAGCTTGGAAGTGCTGAAAGCAATGCCGCAAACATTAACAGATAAGGATATAGAATGGCACTCATTTTATTTCCATTAAAGTTCCAGCCTTCCTGCCTTCAGGCCATCTAAAGGGAGACTCATTTAGACATCTCCCTACTTAGACAATGTCCTAATTTAGAGTTAGAGTGGTAAAGATAGAGCAGCCAGGAAATAGGATAATTACTGGAGCAGAGACTCTGAGCCTGTGAGGTGTCATATCTGACCCAAACAAAGTGACAAAGGTGGAGGATGGGGGGGCTCCCAGAGGGAAGGATCTGGGACTTACCTGGATCAGCGTCTGTCTCTCAGCCTTGGGCAGGTTCTTAGCCTGCCGCTCAGCCTCTTCCCACTCCTTCCTTACCTGCAGCACAGACATTTGCAGAAAATCAATTTCATTTTCTTTTAGTAAAAGAAAGAAAAACAAGAAAACTTTCTTTTTTTGGTAAAGGATAAGTATGGAGAATTTTTACAAGTCATTATAGTAACTTTCTAAGCTCCCTTTGAAAAATAGAAATGCAACACCGCTTACAAAAATAAAAACTAAAGTTTAACTTTGCTGCTTTAGTAGACTCTCTGTTTCAAAGCAGAAGATTTTTAAAAAAGCCAGTAAGTGCACTAATTGTACAGATTTGGCCCGCTCACCCTCTCCATGCGATTATGGTGCCTTATCTCCAGCTGCTCCTTGGCCTTCTGGAAGCGGCTGTGCTCTTTGTCGTCGGCAGGAGTCTCAAAGTAGATGTCCACATCGTCGGTGGGCTGAGGAGTCGGCGGCACAGCTGGAAATTCAGAAAAAAATAAAATAAAAGTGAATTTGGAAAGTATTCACATAAAAAGAGATGAAGGCAGACAGGAAGACAAAAAGAAACAAATGAAGGCACAGCGAGAGCGAGGGAGCTGAAATGGGGGAGAAAGATTTGTTACTCAGAAGCACTCCTTTCATTGGCGTTCCTCCACCCACAGTAAGGCTGATATGTTTTAGGGAATCTGACAGTCTTTCAGTTCAAATTTTCCTTCATCTCCTCATCGGCTTTCAGCTGACAAGCCGTGTCTCCGGCGCTAATGGAAACATCACCGTTTTTGACAGTTGGGTGGACAGGGGCGTTATAAGTTGCCTTTTTTTTCTAGGTTCTTCACTATAAAGTCTCCCCACCTGCATCAATGCAAGTCACCAAAACAACAGCGCCACCGGGTCGAAAACAGGAACAGACCTCATCACGTCGCTAAAGCATCAAAACCAGAAGGAGAAAGAGTTCCCGCTCCAAATGCCTCTACTTTATAGTCTTCCTTTTGCTTTTAAATGTAACAAAATCCAGTTGGATAACTTCCTGAACTATGTTTGCCCTAATAAAAGTGAATAACATAAAAAAAAAATAAAACAAAACAACAAGAAAAAACCAAAAAAACAACAGATACATAACGACATCCTGGTGGATTTCTATAAATAATGGCAGTGCTCTGTGAGCAAAAGCAACAAAGAAACATGAAAAAATGTTACAAAACAAACAGACGGGGAAACAAAAATGACAGGAAACATAAGAATAAGGGTTGAAAGCATGCATGTAAACACAGACTTTAAAAAAGCAGAAAAAAAAACAAGAAAAACATTTTTAATATCAAGCTGGGGCTCAATGTATGACTGGGTCAGAGTGTTGACGTTACCCTGCAAGCTATCTTTCTTTGTTCTACTGAGGTTTTAGATGCAGAAAATAAAAACAATCTATTAAGACTTTACATCTAGCGTGGTGCCAAGTAAAGATCTAACATCATAAAATATGTTGGGATGTGAAAAGAGTTTAGTTTCAGTTTAAGGTAATACCTCCACAGGTTTGAAAATGGGCTTTTATGCAGGTGGATATTTTATTTAAGGTAGATTAATCTGTGTTTTCTAGTTTACAGTCTATTTTAAACAACTCTAATCTGAGAAATGTAAAACAGTTCATGTACTCTACTTTACCCTGACTTGTTTGCATTAGATGCTAAATTATGTAGAAGTCTTCTCCTGCTACCTTTAACAAAAAAAATCCTTTAGATCTATTAAAACCTCTGTTAACTGTTGTTCAGTTTAAGGATATAAATGAGCACCTATGCAGCTTGCGACTACTGTTAACATGAGTTTTTTCTTCCTTTTTATAGATTTAAGCTTTTAAGTTTTTAGTTCTATTACTTTTTTTTAAATATGAAAATTACTGCAGTTTTTCAGTGTTTCATTTTTTCCTAGTTTTGCACTTTTTCTTCGACATGTTTGAAATAAACTGCTTTATTATTTTGTTCTTCTGAAATTTGTTAACCTTATATTTTCAACATGTGTGTGCACTGTGCACTCTAGCATTCAGACTGTTGTTTTAATTATATTACACTAGAAAAAAGGGTTTAATCTAAATGAACCTCTTAACCTGATAACATGAAGACGTCGCCTACATTTGATTGCAAAGGATTTACATTTATCTATTAATCTGTCTTGCCTGTAAAGCAGGTTTTTTTAAGATACAAGAAAAATTAGCTCAATCTTTTTTAATAGTAATATCCATAAAATATAAACAGGTAAAAATATGTATGATGAAATTAAAGCTGCTTTGAAAAAAAATCTTGGATAATAAAACTAAATTTTATGATAAGGAACACTTTATAAATGTAGTTAACTATTAGAAATTAGCATTATGTGAGTCGAATGTGTTGTTCTAAGAGTTGGGGTGTAAAAAGAAAAGGAGAAACAGATGGAATTAAATTGGTGTATAGAAGGTTAGATGATTTTAGAAAGTATGATGAAATCATTAGTGCCCAGAGGTGTGTGAGTTCTTCTAAATCAGAGAAAAGCTAAACCTAGAAGATCCTCGGGGGTTTTCAGGCCGACAGACACAGAGAGGAAGGCGCAGCCACACAGGCCTCCGTCACGTCAGACTTACTCAGGCGTTTGCACACAGCCATGCAGTACTCCTCGGAGTCGAAATTGTTGCGGTTGCCGGCACAGCCACCGTATATGAAGCGAACGCACTTCCTCAGGCTGACGTCGAAGTGCCAGCGAGGCATGGAGGCACGACAGGGGCCGGTCTCAGCCTCCAGAGTGCACACGGCTGCCGGGGGATAGCTTTGTTAGATCATCAGGCCTCTACAGGCCTCAGAAAGCTGCCAGCAAACACTCATCATGACTAAATCTACAACCACGGCCAATTAAAAATAGTGGAGCAGCCGGTTTTTACTTGATCAATGGAACACATAGGGCAGGGTGACCTGAAATGTACACTGATGAGTTGTGAATTAAGGCAAATAATAATATAACTTTGAGCCTCCATTTACAAATTAACAGAACATATGTGATAATACTGAGAAATTATTAATTACCTTTTACTTCTTCTAAAATCTTGTCATCATCGAGTTTCTCTGATGATTTGCTGCTTTCTTTCCTCTGCTCCTCATCATCTCTGTCCGACTCCTCATCTTCATACACATAGTGGTACTCCTCCTCATTTTCCTCCTCCTCCTCCTCCTCCTCCTCTTGCTGCTCTTCATCTTCATCTTCATCCACAGGCTCCTCCTTCTGAGTGGGTTCCTCGTCCGCCGGTGTTTCACTGAGATATGAAAAAAGGATGGAGGATATAAAAATAATCTATGTTTAGATGAAAACATATATCTGCCCTTAACAACACAGCAGATACTGTGTTAATATTTCATAATCATGATCTCAATCAGTTTGCATACATACAGAAAATCCCTACAGGACACAAAGGAAGTCATTTCAAAATCTGGGGTAATGGACTGCATCTTTTTGCTTCTGTTGGTTAAAAATAGCTGGACCAATTATATTCTGAACAATATATAATGAATCCAAAAAAAAATTAAAAACAATCCACTGGACTCTGTTTCCAAGTCTAAAGACGTTTTGCTTCCCATTCAAGGAGAGCCGAGGACCTCGCCTATTCAGCCAGGCCAACAGTCCCCTTTAACAACCCCCCTTTCAGACACTTAGACAGGTATGGGGCATTGCAGGCTAACCGTTCGTCCGTTCCAGTTTGCATGTTTTCAAAACAAAAACAAGGCTTTGTTGAGCTACTGTATAAAACCTCAAACTCAATGTTATTCTGGACATTTTGAATTGAAAAAAGTTCCAGGATGGGAAACGGAACGTCTTGAAATTTGGAAACAAAGTCCAGTGGAGCGTTTTTAACCTTTTTTGGGAATGACTATGACCCGAATGACTGAGAACCTTCACCAACGATAAATAATGATGTTTTAGACTCCTGTATTGAACTGTTACCATTTACAGGAGCGTTAGACTGTACTACATCACGCCTTATGAACTATAACCAGTGTTCATGTAAAGCACTAAAATTTCATACCAAATAATTGTTTATAAGGAAGAAGGAATGCATTCAGCCAAAAGAGACCTGCTTCATAAGAATTTAAAATCCATCTTTGACATGTTTACCATAGATGACAATTTTGTTTTTCTGAACCTTGTACTTGGTAAAATGCATTCAGAAAATAAATGATCTCCTGGACATTAAATTGGGTTATATAACCCCATTATATTATAGTCCCCAATGTTCAATACTCTGAGCCTTCACTGCTGCTTTTCTGTTAAAATGGATTAACTGTGGCCCTAGTGTAAAAAAATATTACTAATATTTGGGACCCTAAAACACTTTATAATTCTGTTTGATTTTCCAGCCCGACACCCAGAATTTCAAACTTTTGATTAATCAAATGCACCACAACTCCTGCTACTTCACAAAAAGCCTGACTCTGTTTTTCCTGCAGCCGATACTGAGCAGCCAGGACCTCAAAGAGCACCAGGTGTTAGATTACGACGCAACACCTGTGACTCCATTAATCTGACATCATCTTGGCATCACGGTAAAAATAATAACTTCTCGGTCTGGATTTAAACTTTGAATGCTTTGAAGTATGAACTTCTCTGTCCTTGACTCCAGATATCAAGCATCAGTTAGAAGTTGCTACTTTTCAAGGTGAATTAGTGACAGATATGTCATTGCTGCAGCGGTTTCACACATCTGAGCCAGGCCACAATTTTTAACGAGACAAACACAAAGCTTAGGGCTCAGTGGCTGTATTTTCAAATGTGTGTAAATAAACTGAATGTGAGAATGTATCAACAAGTGCTACTGTGCATCAAAGCAAAGCAAGAAAACATTTTTCATGAAGGAAGAAGGCAGACTTAATTTTTGCCATTATACTGCCAGCTAAACTTCACAGCACTGTGCAATAAATGACATTAAATTTGACCAATTAATCTATTCTTCCAACAGGGATATGTACAGCCTGATATGTATAACCTTTACTTAAGGAACATTCTTTCGATCCAGAAAACCTGGTAAATTATAGACCTATATCTAATCTTCCTTTCTTATCTAAAGTTCTTGAGCAAATATTTGCTAAACAAGTTTGCGATCACTTACACCATAATGAACTTTTTGAAGAGTTTCAGTCTGGCTTTAGAGCTCATCATAGCACTGAAACAGCTCTGGTGAAAGACACAAATAATATTCTCATGGCCTTAGATAATGGACTTGTATCTGTGCTCGTCCTTTTAGATCTCAGTGCTGCATTTGATAAAGTTGATCATAATAATCTCTTAGAAAGACTTGAATATTTTGTAGGAATTAAAGGAACAGCACTAGACTAGTTTAAATCGTATCTATCTGATCGATTTCAGTTTGTTCACGTTAATGACAGATCTTCCACATGCTCAAAGGTTACATGTGGAGTACCACAGGGATCAGTGCTAGGACCAATTCTCTTCTTTATATATATGCTACCAATTAGTACAATTATTAACCAGCATGGGGTTAATTTCAACTGTGATGATACTCAGTTATATCTGTCTATAAAACCAGATGAAGCTAACCCATTACATAGATTGCAGGCATGTCTTAAAGGTTGAGGCTGCAGCTCAAACTGAGCCTGGTTTCTTCTGTTAAAAGAGAGATTAGCTTCTCTATTGTCGCTGCATGCATGCTTGGCATGTGACATTGCTGTAGCATCAATGATAAATAACACCAAATATCAACTAGGGCCACAAGCTCATCCAGATGGGGCTAAGCCTGCAAAATCAATGAGTCGATGCAATCCTCTGTTTTTTCCTAGATAGAAAACATTTTACTGATCTGACTATATGATCTAACAAAAAAGTATCTGTAAAGTGCTCTGAGATGTGTTATGAATAAACTAGACTAAATAAACTAAATTAAATTGTATCAATGACTGGATTATACTGGATTATATTTAATCATGACTAAAGTATGCATATCTGTACTGATTTTAACTAGTCACTACTGGTTTAACTACCAGTACTGTATTAAATTAAACAGGAACAATTTTAACTTTGTTGAACTATTTGCCATCATCTCCAGGGTAATTATTTAAATTTGCAGATGGAAATTTAACACATAAAACTAGGATGAAATAATTATCATTAATTTGCACACTGTTATAAAACTAATGTAATCCTGTTTAACTTCTTCTTGCATGAAGGTTTAATGGATAAAGATGCAATCAAAGCTGCTGACCTCTCCTCCAGAGCAACACTGTCACTCAGGTCGATGTCCTCGTTCTCTATCTGCTCTTCTTCGTCATCATCCTCCTCTTGGGAGGGCAGGGAAGAGGGGGCCGACTCCCCGGAGCGAGAGGCAGGGCAGCAGACGTATTCTGTGCCGTGGAACTTGTCAATGTCGCAAGGCAGCAGCATGCCATAACTGTGAAGCACCATGGAGCTCCTGGAACAGGCCTAAAAGAGGGTCACAGGACTACTGTAAAAGATATAAACACCCTTATTGTTGCCATTTCCTCAGTCTGGAGGTCAAACTGTTTCTATAAAGTCTGGTGTTTTTAAACTGCTCCTTGCTTTCCTTTTTATTTCCAGAAAAAAAAAATTGCATTTCTATCCCCCAACCAAACACCTGAAATGAATAAAAACAGTGCTTTGTAAATGTGCTCAAATATTTTTTGCTCTCTGCAAAGGGACCACCACAAGTTAGTTTATAAATAGGAAATGGAAATAAAGTTTGGAAACATCAACATGAGAAAATATGAAAAATACTGCAAATTTTCATTCAACCTTCCTGATCCCATACTTTGGCCACCCCCGGCTAAGATACAGCTGTTATTCTTTCGGAATAAATCCCTATCTGTGCAAAATTGCACAAGTTTGGTTAGATTTGAGAAAAACATCAGTGAACATGGGTTTTAGAGTTAATCTGTTGATTTAGTCACCAACTTTGATTGACTCACACAATAGATGATTACACTTTGTTTCTATGGTGGTGGTTCTGGTGGTGTACTGTGGGTCACGGGGCTGCATGAAGATGAACCTCCGTCCCCGACTTGATATTTTCATAGACACTTAACAGGTTTTCTCTCTAACCTGTTCTATATTTAGTTCATCAACTTCTGATCCATTTTGACCAACTTCCTTGCTGATGTTGAAGTAAAACATTGCAAAGCATGATGCCACCACCTCCGTGTTTCACTGTAGCTACGGTGTATTGAGTACAAGTTCTTCTTCACATATAGCTGCTTCTACTAGAAGCAAAACAAAACGTTTTGATTTTATCCAAAAAGATCAATTTCTGTTTAACATTCAGCAAGTTATAAGCTGAATTTCTCAAGGTTTTCTTTAAACAACAGCCTTCTCTTTGTCAATCTATGAAAAAAACGTCATATTTGTGGAGCGTGTTGCTAACGATTGCCAACTTTCCAAAGATTCTCCAAGGTGAGTTGCCATGCTACCCTGCTAATCTTTTCGACTCATCCGACGTGTCCCTTGCGTTCCAGAGAACGTCTAATCAGGTGATTTCTGTAGGAAATTTGTTACACTGAACTGTGTTTTGAAGATACTAAAGTAAAAGTATCAGTTCCTCTCCTAACTTTACGTAGCTGTGCACAAATATCTGTTGGTCTACCACAGGAAATAAAGTCTATGGTTTTAATGTAACAAAATTTTGAAAGGTTAGAGGGGATTAAACATTTAGCATTGTCCTGTATGTTAACTATTCCACATTTTCACAAAGTCATGTTGTTCCTTAGGTGACCTGCTTTCTTAGAACATGTTCCCTCTTCTAGCAGCTGGAAGGTATCAGATACAAGCTCAGTTTGAAACTCCGCCAGATCAGAGCAGGATTAGCTGCCCAGAGCAGGTTGCCAAACAAAATTCATTGTTTCCCTGATTTGTTTCTCAAATTTTCCCCACTATAAATGCTTAAATATAGTCATACATTGCATTAAACCATGTGCTGAAGAAGATGGAAGCAGAAGTTTGAGGAGAGCTTCTGTCATGGTCAAAATGGGCTAACTCTGGAGCTTCCTGAGGGGGATTAGCAGCTTCACAGCCGCAACACTAATCTGATTAGAGACTCTCAGTCAGCTCTCTGATCACTGAAACTCCAAATCAGTGAAAAAATATATTCAGAGGCAGGTGGAAAATAAAAAATTGACATATTATGGATGTTTGGGAAATTTTTGCATTTAACATCTAATAATTAAAATATATTCCTTTTTAAGCAGCCATCTATCATTTTAAGGTTCAGAAAAAATAAAAATTTATTTTGTGGGTCCTAAGCTTCATGTGGATGTTTTCTTTGGTAAACTTTTCTTTCACCTGTTGTTTTAAAAGTAAAGAAATATTTCTTCTTTATCTCCTTCTAAGTTTAACCTATGATTAAAAAAGAAGGGATATTCAATTCTACTTCAAAAGAAATGCAATAATAAACAGAATTCTGTCAATTAGTCTACTAACTTTAGAAATCTAATTTATTGTAGCTACCTCCTAATATTGACTTTCTAGCGAATAGGAAACTTTTCCATTAGTCACTCAAAGCACTATTTAGAGGCAGTGAAACAGTAAAACTGAAGCTTTTCAGTTTTTCAAAGCCGCCCATATTAGTTACAGCTACTTGAAATGTTGACCTTAAAAAAACCTTCAGGATAGCAGAGGAATGGACCCACAGGGTTTAGTGGGTTTAATATGTAATGAAGGAGTGCAGCTAGTTTATTAAGTAACCAAAGTCTTTCAGTGGAGAGGAAAACTCCCTTTTGACAGGAAGAAACCTCTAGGAGAACCTGGCTCAGTGTGAGTGGCCATCTGCCGAGTCCGACTGGGGTTCAAGGAGACAGAAGCAGATGAAGACATAAACTAAAGAAGTTATTAGGCGCTCAGGCCCTGGCAGAACTCTTCGATGTTGTGAATCAACATACACTTGGAAGAATAACCTAGAAAAGGATTAGCGTACTCTTCCCTCATGGCCCAGACACTGGTGTTGGAATAACCCAGAAAATGAGTTGGACTGAGAATGAGGGAGGAGATGGAGGAGAGATTTTATATGAATACTAAATAAATGAAAAGATAAACATTTCTTTAAATCATTTTGGTCTCTCATGTACCAACACGTCATGTATTTAATCCATTTATCTTTAAAAGTGTACTGTTTAGAACAGGAGCTAATTATTGTTAAATTAAAAACAGAAATGCATTAAATTTAACATTGAGAAATTTCTTATTTCAATGTACTGAAATGTGATGTTTTTTTCTGTACATTTATAAAGTAAGAGATTTGATTAGAATGTTTAAATAATAATTAAATTCAATATCAATCCTTATTTATTCACTGATTTATTCTATTGATCGTATTTCTGTTTATGTTCTGTTCCAAAATTCTTATTATAGAGGAGAGAATTAAATCCCAAACGTTTTATTGTGTCCCTGTAAAAACTTTTATCTAATTATTTTAGACTTAATTATGCAATCTTGATGAATCTTTGACCACAACAAATCCAAGACTTTAAATGAAGACTTAGAAAACTGTGTCAGTGAGTTAAAAGTATAAACTTCTCCTTGAATCAGAGTGTGACCAGGCAGATAAAGGTTTGGAGTAAATCTCTGAAGACTTGCTGCTCCTGCCTCCCTCTTCTGACAGCTTGAATCCCCTCTGACAAACTTCCCACTTCTTCCGATGAAGCGGCCCCCGCCTTACCTCTTTGGCCACGCCGTGCCACTGCTGGTGGCTGACGCACATGTCCTTACGCTCCTTGTGGAAGAACTTGCATTTCTCCGGAACCAGAAGAACGTCACTTACAAACTCGCCCACTGAAAGAGAAAAAATGTACACAGACCAATATGGCTGTTAGTCACAGCACCAATCTGTCTCACAGAAAAATTCATTCCTCTAAAACATTGCCAGAGTTGAAAGCAATACATCAGTTGATACGACTAAAAAGGGATGATGAGAATATTCAATAATTCATAGCTGCCTCGTATTTTAATTTTCTCCACTGAGGAATAAAAGACGACATTTGACATTTGCACCTGTGTGAGTCCAAAACTAAAAGGGATTATCCTTCCTGTTTAGCTGCATCTGCAATCAGAAAGGCAGTGGAGAAAATCCGTTTTCATACTGTGACTCTTGTTCTGCAGTCAAAACTCTTCCTGGGACTCAATGATATCATTTTCTTGATGATTTATATTCAGCCATGTTTTATTCATGGAGCAGGAAGATGAATCCGGAGGAAATAAATGGCTTGAAAGGCATCTTGTGGCTCTATGAATAGTTTCAGGCTGAAATCTGCACAGATCTAAATATGGAGCAGGGGTCCTGATGAAGATGAAATGGTTAGCTGGCATGGAGACAGGCTGCTGAGGTACTGTACAGAGCCTTACAGAAGTAGCCGGTCCTCTTGGCTTATCTATTATTACATTCTATCATTTAGTGTTTTTCAGTCTTATGATCTTCAATCTTGTAATAGATTTGCTAAAACAGTTCATGATTGAGAAGTGAGATTATAAATGCATGTAAAAAAAAAATACAAAAATAAAAAAAAAAATTTTATTTGGTACTCTGGAGTTATGGAGCCACCATGCCATCATAACGTATCCTTTTTTCAGGTGATCAAATGCGCCATTTTAATGCTTTGTCTGTAGGTAGTAATAAAAAATCTAAAGCAAGAATGATGTTTCAAGAGGTATTTTTGACAGTTGACTTGAAAATGAATTTTAGGTATGAGTCTGTGGGTTTAGTTTTAAGTATTAGTCCAGTGAAGATGGGGCTAGTAAACAGAAGATGTGTGTGAATCCACAACAACAGCTCCTTGATTCCCAATTTAGGATGGCTCACAGAATATTTATTTTCGGTAATGATACGTAAAAGAAAGTTTGATTTTATAAGGTTAGATTCGCCGGACGAGCGACACGAGGCAAGCACTGTGGCACAGGCGGTCAACACAAATCACATCATTGTAGTATTGTAGTGCTACAAGTAATGATTATTTAGGAAATCAATTTATCTGTTGATTATTTTTTCAAATAAAGAAGATTTTTAACTTAATTACACCAGGTGAAACTCAAAGTTATCCACTTGAGGAGTTCTGGATACAGCATCTTCACAAACGGAAAAGTTTTTTTTATCTTAAATGAAATGTTTACACACACACACACACACACACACACACACACACACACACACATACATATATATAATTTCTTTTAGATTACTGCTCTAAGTGGGTTGTTCTGTAAGCTAAAGGCATATTTTAGAGTCTCTATACTCCAGTTAACGATTAATTGATTACTAAATTAGTTTAGGATTATTTCCATAATCCATTAATCATGATTAATCTCATTAATTGTTTCAGCCCTACATCGGTTAATAAAGTCTACCTGTGAGCAGCCTAGGAGTCTCATGAACTGCCAGTATTTTCTGTACTGTTTTCTGTAAGGCCTCAGAGGCAGCAACACATTATTAAGCAAGGGGCGTTACACCCTGAAGACTAACTTTAAAAGTCAGGGACAAGAACAGAGAGAAGAGTAAGTCTGGGTGGGGCTTTGAAAAATATCAGAATCTCCTTATGTTCCCACCAGAGCATTGTCAAATCCATCATCTTCAAATGGAAAGCGCATGATACCACAGGAAACCAGCTAAGAGAGGACCGCCCACCTAAAACTCACAGACAGGGCAAGGAGGACGGTAATCAAAGAGGAAAGATGAATACCAATGCTCACCCTCAAGGAGTTTTACAGCTAAGACAGAGTTACCTGTGCATAAGAGCACAATAAGCCACAGAGCTAAGCTTTATGCATGAGTGGGGGGAAAATAATAAGCAACAAATCCCATCATTCCAAGAACAACAACTTAAAGGTTAAGTTTAGTGGTGGCAGAGTCATGCTGTGGGGATATTTTTTAACAGCAAAAAAATGAGTCAACACATAATGTTGAAGCAACAATTGAGTTATTCAAGGGGAAACTAATTGGAACGGCCTAGTCAAAGTCCAGATCTTAATCCAATTGATAATCTGTGGTCAGACTTAAACTATCCAAAATGTTGGAGCTAGAGTACTTTTGTGAAGACCAATCAAAAAAGTACTGCTGTAATTTCTGCAAAAAACCCCCCAAAAAAGGTTAGATTGCAGATTACAGAAATTATTTTCAGCAATACATGCTAGTTTTTTGTGTGTCCTATTAGTTGTTTGCTTCACAATACACAATATAATCCTTAGTAAATGTATCGGAATGTTCTGCAAATTAAATGTTGTAAACTCTCAAACAATCCATTTATTTCTATATTGTGAGGCAACAAAACATTAAAAATGACAGGAAGGTAAATACTTTAGAAGTTAACAGTAAAGATGTCAAAAACAAATAGAAAAATCAAGCAGAAGACAATGGATGGACATGTGAGGGGCTGAGAATTTTCACAGAGTAGGCAGAGGCAGAGAGAACTTCTTATTTAGTGGCTGGCCACAACCTTGGACTGAGGGAACACTGCTAGAGGTAAGGAAAAACCAAAATGGCCTTAAAGGATGATGGGGAAGGCTGTGTTTTGGAAAATGAGAGGGTAGGATAGGAAAAGGAGAGAGCTGGAAATAGCAGAGGGCTCAGCAGCTGCTTCTAATCTCTGTCTGGGAGGTACGGTTACAGAAACAGACAACATGTAGACCTGGTGTTATCCTGCTTTATATCAACCACTGATGCAAAAAACAACAGATTGCTTTACAGATTGGGAAACTGTCAATTATTAGTTTAGCTATCCTGCAAATAATGTGTCTCCAGCTCAACAGGAGGAAGCCGTAATTTTCTATCATTGCTGATAACATGTCATATTTTAATACATTTAGTAAAGAGGGTTGTAAGCAGAGGTGTACACCTCCAGAGACAAATTCCAAAAGTTCTTGGTCGGCTTTTGTATCTTGCTTCCCAAGTTTATGATGGTATAGAAGAAATTGAAAAGTGTATTTTCTAATCAAACTTCATCCTAAATAACATCTTTCTTTAGCTTCAAAACACACGAGAGCCTGGGTGCAATTTGGAGGTGTGTGAAATTCTTCCTGACTGGAAGTTTTACTCTAGATTTAAATCCTATTAGCAGGGGCTCCTGTACATGATGTATTGTTAACTGACCAGGAGATGGCAGATTACTGCAGCCACTTGTTCAGAGCTTTTTGATTAAGATCAGAACAATGTCAGGTCACAAAGCACATAGTAGCTGTCTGCCAAGAGCTTTAGAATAACCCACTTGGAGTGCTACCAGTCTGCTGTGGTTCTGATTCAGGTTTTAGCCTTGACATGACCCAAGCATGGCCAATCCTGCTCCAGATATTCTTAATACCAGACCAGCAAGTTCCTCCATGTCTGACACAGAAGCTGAATCTTCTGTAACTAAAGTAATAAACCACTCTGGAGGTTTTGTGTATTTTCAAAGCAGTTAAAGAACTCTGATAGGCTGTACTGCCTAACAGTAAATCTGGGAGGTTCTGGAACCACATCTGGCTAAAACAAAAGAAATAGTGTCTTTTTTAAAGGAGGACAGTCTGGTGAAAGAAATTATTAAGATGTTCCAGATCTGAACAAAAAAAAAGACCAACACTATCATAGGACCACCAGAATTTTTCACCATCTGAACAATGTTATTTTCACAAAATATTATGTTGATTTTTTCCAACAAGTAGCAAAGTTTCGTTTTTATCTGGTTAGTCCCAACATTATTGTTGATGATTCTTTCTAAAAAATGGGAGGGGTTTTAGGGTTTTTTTTGTGTTGTATATAACTAAAAATCCTGCATTCTGTAAATATACCTAATTTTCTGCACCATCAACACCAAGTAAAATTCCTTGTAAGTGCAAACCTGAACATGAAAACGTCTTCTTGTTATTGACTCCTAAATGTTTCAGAGATTTCCGAGTAACAAAATAGCAAAATCCCCCACAATTACTGAAACCTAATGTGTGCATTTCTATCAAGTATAGAAAAATAAGAATAGAAGTAAATGTAAAAGATATGTCTGATATAGCAATGCTAATCTCTGGCAGCAGTTGCTTCTCTGTTTTGAATTGAAGCAATTAGACACAAAAAAGCTGACATTTTTGCATTATTATTTAAGATTATTGTACCATGTGAGTCTTCTTAAAGGCTGTGCTTAGAGAGAACCAGATAAACTGTTACTCAGTTAATACTGTTAATACTCAGACTGATGGCAGGGATATTAATGTCTGAGGTAAGAAAACAACAAATGTTTCTAAATCTGCAAATCTGCAGCACGGTCTCTATAGTCTCACTCAATAACCTCTCAATCTATTCTTTTGGATCAAAGTGTTTGTGAGATCACATGACTCAGAGTATTGGAGTTTCCTTTTCTCACAAACTCTAACTCCACCAAAAATTACAGACTGTCATGAAAAATACGAGAACAGTTGATTTTTGATCTTCTCTAATTAGCTGCAATATGGGTGAGTAGCTGTTTGACTTTCTCATTATAGATTAGGCAGAAATTGATCACACCACCAGGAGTTTTCTAAAGCAATTTTTAAAAATCAAACCATCTTCACATAACGAATAATAACGTATTATAAACTCCCGGTTTCACTTTAAAACAAGCACAACTTTTTTCCCTCTTTTTCAGCATTTTTATCTTAACTCATCAGCCCCAACTATCATTATCATCAATTCCCACTCATCTCCTCTACCCAGGCCCATTATTCAGCGATTGTGAAGGATTGTTTCGAGGAACATTAATATGATTCGGGGTTTGAGGCTCAGCGCAGAAAAATTTCCAGAGAGACAAAGGAATGCAATAACCTGAGGCGCGGAGCTCCGAAACAAGCCTGAATTCGTTATCAGCGCTCTCGCTCTGCTTTTCTGATGATTTGTAAATGTGGACCCGGCCCTTTATTAAGCCCTCAAGCTTAGTCAACAAATTATTTAAATTACCCATTTTTTTCCTGAAAGGCTGCAGTAAAGGAAGCGTTTAAGGATAAAAGACCACGACGAGAGCATCAATATTACCTGGAATTTAATAAAGTTTTGCAACTGATTTTTTTTAACATATTCTTAACTATGTTGCTAATATTGTTATAAAACTGAATGTCCAGAATTTCTGATGGTCCTAAAACATATTCCATAATATAGTCTTCATATTTCTTTGTAATAGGTTTCTAGAGTAAAGTCTCAAATATGCTTCGTTGGAGACTAACAAGTTGATTAGGAATGTACAGGACTTTTTGATGCCATATTCATCCACTCAGGAAACAAATGTGTTTCTCTTCCAGCCTCTATCCTGCCATGACTTGGTTCCAATTAAATTAATGATCTCAGACCAATCAAATCTAAATTATGCTGAAAAGCCCCTGCAGTTTGACAAAGACATTATTCTACAGGGACTAAAAATGAAATTAGTGAATTAGAATCCCTTTTCTTTACGGAGCCTTTGTTTTGAGAGTAGAAAACATGGAGGCACTACAGGTGAGCACCAAGAGACTCATTCATTTTAAACCTAGCTCCTGCTGTGGTACTTTTTATTTGATTTATAAAGTAAATACAAATAATGAATGCCGAAAAATCATGCCCTCTAAGCATTTCTAATATATTTTTTTCTTTTTATTTAATTTTAATTACTGTACTGGGATGATTATTCATTTATCTAAAACCCTGCAATAAATGTACTGAAGGGAGTAATTGCATCATGCAAGTTTCACATGATTAAAGCTTAATAAACAACTTCAAGATCAAACGGTCAACGCCTCCCATAGGTCAATAACTTCCGTTTATCTGCATCAGTTGGTCCTTTCAGACTCTAATTGTAGTACGAATGTCTGTAGAAGATGGCGGCTCATTTCAAGGCATCCGTTTTTAAGATGTGCCAGAATAAAGAATAAGTTTACATTTTATTGCAGAACCATCATCTTATACCGAAAAATTATGTTCAAGAAAATCACCAGGAGAAGAATAATTCACACCCATTAAAATCCTTTTCAAGATGTTGAACTTGAACTCATTTGTTTGGCTTATCCTTAACTTTTTGAAAATGCTTTATCTAGCAACTCCATGTTCATTCCCATTTTCCAGGGGAATGATCCTGCCGCCACGTACGGCAAGCAGGAAGGCACAGAAGGAGAACAAATATGTGCAAATGTCTCTTAGAGGTCTAAAGCACATAGTGGCTTCCTGTGGTGTTAAGATCTTTACATCAATCATTAGACACTTGTTTGCGTGGGAGGCATACAAGAAAAAAAGACTTTTCTTCTAATCCCACCGAAGCACCAGGAATTTTCCTGAAAACTAAGCTTGGTGTCAACAAACACACTGATGTGAAACAAAAGAGGAATAGGAAAATCACCTAATTTCCACACTTGAGCAGAGTTGGGGGTAGGTTTGTCCTGCTTCTTTCACTAAAAATAAAAACGGTGGGGTTTCTGTCTTCCATAGAATAAATTAGCTCATTTTAACCATTTTCTATGTGCATAGTTACATTTTCAGATCTTACAGCTGAAAAAAGATGAATTAAAAAGAAGGGCATTTTTATGCCTCGTTTACAGTGGTGTTGACTTTTTTTTTTTTTTTAATCTTAACATGTTTATCTGAACTCTGTCCCTGCAGTTAACAGGGCACAAGGTTTCCAGATTGAAGGAAGGATGTCGTACAGTAATAAAACTGGGGTTACAGCTCCAGATTATTTTAGTACTCAAATATTTTTGTGAATAATCTTAAAAAGAAATGCCATTATCCAATTAATAAACCTTAATTGTTTAAACCAGTGATCCCCAATCGGAGGTAGGCGAATCAGAATTAGAATCAGAAATACTTTAATGATCCAAGAGGGAAATTACTTATGTTACACACTCCAGATATACAAACATTTATGTATATATATCTATATATATATATATATATATATAGATATATATAGATATAAATATATACATACCCAGAACCCATAGTGGTCCATGAGTGTATTGCAAGGGGTACATGAAAATATTTTATTTCTTACGTAATTAAATAAAATAGGTGAGGACCCAGTTGAAAAATTAAATCATCATTATCATTATCAACCAAAAAAAGAAAGTTTTTCTTATATGCAAATATCCAAACCAAGCAGAGGAGCAGCCTAGGATCAGCTGTTTTTCATGCTGAGCTATTGGAGCTCATCAAAGCAGCTCAGGTGTCTTGATGAAAACAAATAAAACTAATTAAGTCAGTCTGACTATAATTTTTATTCTGCATCTTGTTCACATTTCATCAAGTTTAAATGTGATTATAACCCAGTTTTATAAGTACAGGTTTATAATATGATTTTATTTTGTATTTATTTTGATTCCTTACTAACTTCAAGGCAACATATTTGTGTTGTTTTCTTTTTGAGATGGAAAGAATAAAACGCATAACAATTAAATGCTCAGGTTAAAAGATTTAGTAAAATAGCTTTATTTTATAATCAGTTATTGTACTTTTGGACAATTGTCAATACTTTTGATTGAGGGGGGATACTCATGGTAAGAAAAAATGCCCAAAGGGGTACATACCGTAAGTCAAAAAAGGTTGGGAAACACTGGTTTAAATCACAAATCACATTTTAAATTATTTAACTAAAACATGTACAAAAAAATTGATTTAAGGCTCAGAAATGCCACTTAATTATTTCTGTATAGAACATATTTACAAAGCAAGAAGTTTTTGTTTTCCCTTACATTTATTTTTTTTTCAGAAAAGTGTATATTTTTAGAGCCTTTATTATCAAAATCACAAATAATAGTTTAAGCAATAAATAAAACCTACAAACAGCAGAACACCTTCTGAGGTCTGAGGTGATAAACCTTTAGAGATCTGAATGCAATAAAGTTTAGTGGTAAAATCATCTTTTAGACAGTTATATTTATTTAATTTATAGATGGAGCCTAAATACACAAAGGTGTGTATCTATGTGAATGCTCCAGTCTGAGGCACTGTACTGCATGATTATAAACACCGATGTCCTCTCTAGGCTTATAGATACAGTCTTTAACAAATGGCTGGAATATGCCTAAAGTGACTCTTATACTCTACCCTCAAATATGTGACACATTAAACCTTTCATTTCCTGTTCAGGTCGGACAATCCATCATCTCATGTTTTCGTTATTATCAGGCGAACTGCTGAGGACTTTTTATTTCTGATAAGGTGCGCCTAGATGTTCTGGAAAAAACACTCAGACTAGCTTTAATTGATGAAATTCGATAATTAATGAGGTGATTACAGCTGAGAATCATTTTCTATGATTGTTTGAGAGATCTGATAATGACTGCATAATAAAGTGTTCTGCTTCATGCAATAACGCTGAAATATTAATTTTCAGATTTTATGGTTACAATCAGCAATAAATAAATTAAACTCTGAGTCTTTTTTTAATATGAGGTTGTACTTTTTTAAAAGATTAAAGTCAGATAGGGGAACATATTTGCCAATCAATAAATATATAGCAGAATAGTTCAACAGTATAATGTAATAAAGCACTACTACAGGATTTAAATATGCTTTAAATAGATCCTAATTTCACAGAGTTTCACAAAGTTTGAAATTGCTTAATTCATTGAAGATAAGTTTGACATGAAAAAAAAATTCACAGGACTGAAAAATGCCTAAAAAATGTGCCTTTAAGACATAAGATAAAGGACACTTCAAATCTCTCTTTCTGTCTCAGCTAAAAAGGGCCGGTTCCACTAGAGCGTTTGATGTCCAACAAATTCTGTAAAGCATTCTCCTCACTGAATTTAGTATAATTATATAGTAAATTAATTGTCCGGAGCTAAAATGTATGATCTGTTTTAATCCCGGAAACATCTTTCATCCAAGACAAAAGATGTTCCTTTTTTCTAAAGCAGGATGGAGATTTGTTTTCAGCAATCTGCTTCTCCAATTCCCTCAGTCCTCAGAGGGAGAAAAGTCTGCTGTGTTTTTTGTTCATCTGAGGCAAACTCTGAGGCTGCATGTGGCATTTCATAAAGCAGAACACAGCCATGTTGCTGCTGCTGATTACAGTGATTCTGCCAGGAACAAAGGAGGAAGAGAGTCGTTTGTGACAGTGCAGGAAAAGGAGGAACGAGATGCAATAAAGCAAGCCCTCTGTTGTTGACCCTGTGTGTCAGTGTGAGTTTATGACCACTGTCTGAGGGGGCAAATAAGATTGTGCTTTATTGCTCAACAAGCCTCCCCAGCAATAAAATCCTCCCCCCATCAGCCATCCATTCTGGAAGACATTAACTCCCCATCCAGCGTGGATCGGCTCAGTCTGCAGCTAAAGGCCAGGAGTGGTGAACCTAGACCAATATCAGTCAATGTCACCTCTGCCCAAGGCTAAAATGACTCATATGCTCTTCTTTCTCTACAGTGAAAGCAGAGAGAATTAAAGGACTAATTTAAAGGAGCATTTACAAGAATCAGAAACTCTAGCTTACCTAAGCACATGTAAGGCACAACAATATGGGCGTGGCCTTTGCACACTTTCTTCTCCTTCTTGCACCAGTTCTCAATGCGGACAGGCTTGTTGGCTTCCACTACGTTGGTGATTTTGAGCTCTGGATACATCTGTTGAGAAAAGGAACAAAGCCATGGATATTGAACACCGATTGCTCTTGGTTGAGTGGAGCTTCAACAGAAACTCTAATCTGGGCTTTATACCTACTAGATGGCATCTGCTCATCTGTGAAAGAGCACCCAGGTTTGCACTTTCCTTAAATACCATGAAAATGTCATCTGAAAAAGGCAACTGAAGCATCTGAGGACATTTTTCTCAATGAACTCCCAACAGAATTACTGTCATCCTTCTTTGTAAAGAGGTCATTCAGAATTTTTTACATTTTAACAAATGTTAAAATGTTTTAACATTTGAACAAATGTAGACTCCTTTTGGACTAAAAAAAATGCTTTTCTTCTCCATCCCCATTATATTGTAGGGATAAGAACCAATGAGCCAGCTATATGAGAACATGTTAAAAATAAACAAATCATAAGATAAAACAGTCATTTAACTTCAATTGCAATGCATAAGTATAGTAAAATGATACTGAAAGAAAAATATGAATTGAAAGGTCATCATTTAAAAGTTGCACACATTGGTAAAATGTTAAAAATTGTGAAAAACTCCAACACACAAGGCCAGGGCAAAAGTAAGGATATTGATATTGTGGAAAACCTCCCCCTTCATTTCAGACAGAGTCCAGATAATGACCAGCTGAGGGGCTGATAATTGAAATGCCGCCCACCACAATAACATGCAACCTCCAGGAAGAGCTTGATAGCATCTCTGAGAACGAATCACAAAATGAAATGAATAGGGACTTACTCAATCTTCCCAGATCAGCACGGATCTTTACTTATAAAATAAATGATGCCTTCAAGTAAAACATAAAAAAAACTCAATTTTAAATGTTGGTATGATACATAAACAGATGCATCATTAAGTTCTATTTAGATTTTTCTAAACTTTAAAATAATTGTGAGACAACATGCAAGACTGTTCAAGCGGGGGACACTATTCTGTCACAGTAGTACAAAACAAAAGAATAAGAAATACACACACTAATTATAAAACTAAATAAAAACAGGGCAAGAGCACATTGTTTAGTATATTAAATGAGCCACAAGGCTAAAGCTGCAGATCCCTGATCTAACGCATAATTTATAAGTAATTTATGACACAATTTGTAAATATTATAACAAATCAGTAAGGACTCTTCTGTCAGCCATGTCATCATAAGAAACTGATTTAGTATTACACTACAAACATTGATCTATAGATGTAAACCTTAGGGCATTTGCTCTTAATTGAAGCAGGTAAATAAGATGAACTGGCAAAGAAATTAAAATGTTTTCCCATATAATAAGATAATTAAATATAATGCTCTTAAAATGAGATAAAACTGTTGTTTTTTCTTATCTTAAACATGCAGCATCTTGTTTCATTGGCAAATTCTCTCACCAACCTTCTCAAATCAGGGGGAAATACACTTAATTCAAGAAAAATAGATTTTCTTATATTTCAAATTTTGCAATTTTTTTGTTTTCAGTACAGGAACCATAATAGGGGCCAGAGTCTGCTGTGTAAGGCCCCTATTGGCCCCTGTCTATAACCACCCATGTAGGCATGTAATCCTTTCTTAGACTGTCCAGTGATCCATTTGACTTAGACATCAAGAAATGTATAATCAGGAGGAAGATGGCTGAAACCAGGCCAAACGGCACTGAGGCAGCAAGTCTGAGTCCAAGCCAAGTACTCAGGGCACATTTAATAGGCTGATATTTCTATATAAAATATCCTTTTATTTGTGTTTCACAATATTTAAATTTTCTGATAAACCATAAAAGCCAATAAAATGAAAAAAAAGAACTTTTCAATGATGTTCTATAGTATTTTACAGCACCTGTAACTTTAAATCCCACTCTTTCATTAATTAGCCCATCTAGGATTAAATGAACTCGCACAGATAAGAATTCTCCCGCAGTTATCAAAAGATCGTCTGAATACTCAGACTAATGATGTTGAGCTGATTCGTCACTTCCTTTACGTAAGTTCAGAGGCTTGATTTCAACACTTCTACGACATGGACGTGGTGGTGAGGCATTAGTGTCGCTCTGACTCACCTCTTGGCAGTACTGCAGCACGCCCTCTTTGGTTCCTACGCAGCTTTTGGTTCCTGATGGGTCAGGCTCCCAGCGACCAGTTTGAATGTTGACATGCATGTTGAGTTTTCCACAGAACATGGCCACCTGGGGCTCGGACAAAGCGAACCCGGTGCCTGCGTTGGCAGCCAAAGCCTGCAGAGAGAAGGGGAACATATTGGTCAATGTGTTCAAAATAAATCTAATAAAGGCAGTGAAACAGCCGCTGCAACAAAACTGAGTATCTGCTCACTCACTCACTTTTTTTTTTCCCCCCTAGAAGCAGCATTTTATAGTAAGAACTTAGGTCAGATTGAGCAGCTTCAGCTCATGGGCTGTAGTAGATAAAAACAGCAGACATGATGGAGCAGCGTCAGTGCAGCTGCTGCAGCAGCTCAGTGCCGCAGTGATCAGAGAGCAAACTGGCTCAAACGAAACACAAATTGAAAGGAACAGGAACATTGTGCAAACTTGACATTAAAGTCTGATTAGATGCGAGTTGAAAAATATCTAGATCTCATGTCTACATAGTTGAAGCTCACAGAGCTGCAGGCATAACAGCAGTTTGTTGTGTATCACAAAAACAGGAGATTCGTAATCAGGGCAGAGCTGTGCTTGTAGGGCTCTCCTGGGACCCGAGTCCCCCCCACAGAGGACACATCATTTATTCTTCAAGGTAAACAAGGAAGTGAATTGGTTCTACCACCATCATGGATACTGACATAAAAATACCGACTTATATATGAAAAGTAAATCAATGTAATTTACAGAGAATTAAAGAAAACAACGTGAATAAGCAATGAAACAATAAAACGCAGGAATTTAAATAAGTACAATATAAAGATTAAAAATCTTGATGGTGAATTACTAAGGCTTCATAAAAATAAGTTAAATAGTAAACTGAAGAAAATTATGATCTTTTTTAGCATAGACACTAAGGGTTTGATCTTCGAAGATTTCAAATGAGAGGTGCTAAATTTAACATGCAGTTTTTTTAGAACGTGCTATAGATGTGTGTGTTGCTGTTGATCTACAAAGATCGCTGCGCATTTGTTAAGATGTGCAAACCAATTTAGTTTTGCCCCATTAAGAGCAAACTGGTTTCTGAGAGCAGCCATAAAGGAAAGATGAGGTTCAAAGCCACGGAGACTGACATAATACTTTAAATTAAAATAACAAAATATAAAAATCTAATAAATAAAAAATAACATAAATCAATAATAATACTATAAAATAAAAAAGTTGTTTTTGCTGATTGACATCAGGGTAGATTGTGTTCTAAAAAGCTGGATTTATCTCCACCTGCTCCTACCAACAGCACCTTGACATGATATACTGTAAGACAAGGTAGATAATCATGATTTGTGCATGATAATGTTTTATTAAACCAAAGAATAGGGGGACAAAATCCTGTTGCGAAGAGTAAGAGAAGCCCATTTGCACACGTTTAAAACCAGCAAACCTGAAGATAAGATCCTAAATGTTTGTTTTTGTTCTTTAGAATAAAACGTAAACATGTCCTCAAAGTCTACATGGTTTATAACTAACAAGTTGAATTTTGTCAGTTAAAATTGACCTCCTTTTAATAGATAAAAATCAGAAGGCCACAACATAAAACTGTTAAAATAAAAACTGTAAGGAATGACACAAACATTTAAAACAACAATATTTTCATAACCTTTAGTTTTACATTTTAATGTAAAGATGTGTGTTTCTAGCATACACATAATTGAAATCGATGTTAAAGTGCTCCAAAAAATAAAGCTAAAGAGTATATGGTATATCAAGTGGTCCAAGTACGCAGCCTTGTGGAACCCCACATGATCTTTGTTGCTCATAATCGTTATTCCAAAATGACCCAGTTTGAATCCAATCTGCTAAGTAATCTCGGTTCCAATCTATCAGAGTACCTGACAATCCTATCCACTTTTCTAGTCAGTGAACCCGCTACAATCAACTGTGTTGCTTTTTCAAGTTGTAGTGGTAAAAATGACATTATGAAAAGCTATTTCCTCAAGTTTTGGTTGAAATTTCCCAACTTCCTGTCTCCCTTGCTCACTATCTTTATCTTTGGAGATGGGAGGAAATCTTCCATTACTCTCATTTATGTCCTTAGTGGCATTGTTTATTGAAGAAAGTATGCACACTATTGTTCCTGGTCCCTCAAAAGAGAAAAAAGGACATTTCTAACATCTTTTAAAAGACCGGTGTGCTAGCATCAGCTTCTAACTGACTCACTTTATGTAGAGTCCCTAATTAACTTTTAAAGGGATGCGGCTCTGAATTTCAAACACTTCTTCAAACAGGAAATGGAATGAAAATAATACTTTCCAGATACTTATCAGAACATCAAAATAATAATCAAACCCTGGGATTCATCCAGAGGACAGACTTTTTTTCTGGTTGCTCAGCTTTACAAAAGTTAAGAGTCAGACAGGGGGAATCCTTTATGCAGGAGAGAAGGGGACATCGAACAAAACTCTGCCTGATTCTGAGCTAACAAAAGGAGCAGAGAGAGGACAAAACAAGTGCTGTGTAATCAGCAGTTGGCTGCTGTGTGTGTTGAGCTGAAGTGAATCAAGCTCCAGCCACAAATGCTCACAACAAAAGCACGTAGCACTCAGAAAAACCACAATCATGAGCTGAATCCAGTCCAATAGGCACAACAATCCCCCCTCTGTCCTCACTCTACCCATTTCTGCCCCAAATGGAATTCAATGTTGTGTAAGTGCAAACAGTGATAATATTTCTGCTATTAGAAAATGGACCCCGGAAAGATAAACAGCAATTAAAAAAGTTTCAATTAAGCAGCAAATAAACAGCCTTGTTTGCTCGCCTTCCTGTGTTTGCTATCACAGACAGGATGAGAGGCAGGGGCGGACAAAAGAGGAGCAGGGCGTTCATGAAGAGGGACGACGACGAAAAGCTAGAAATCAAGAGCTGGGCTCACAAAGATTTTTAATTCCTCTTGTGGATCACAGAGGAGGACGTTGCCATGGCTAACGCTAATCTGGAGTCACATGCCTCTTGGGCAGTTGGATCAAGGCTTCCTGGGCCTGACCAACACAAAGAGATGTAATGGTCAGGATTAAACGCCTCTAGAGACAGAGAGAAACGAGCAAACAGGGACTCAATGTTAGGAGTTTCACTCTCATGTCCGAGCTGATAGAAGAATTACAGAATGGTGGTGAAGCAGTGATCAATTCATTTCCAAAGGATCTACTAATCCTGTCCAACAGGGGTCAGCAAATTAAACAGTAAAAAGATATTAAACTCAAAAATGTATTAATGATTTCGACCTAACTCTACTAACCCTTTGAAATCTGATGCCCACAGAAAATTTACTCAGTTCCCACCTATGAGCAGAACGTTACATTAAAAGCCTTCAGTTCCATTATCTTATACTCTTTGCTCATCAAGGTATATGTCAGGTGGTGTGGAGATTTTGAGTACGGTACCCAAATGCAGAGGAGTAGGCACGGATGAGTTTTGATGGTTTAATGAAGTCCAAGGGGAACAGAGACAAAAATACAAAATACAAAAAAAACCTGAAAAACCAAACAAAAACCAATAAACATCAGGGAAAATACTCGAGGGAAGCAAGAGACTAGAAACAATGAAACAACATCTACAACACAAGAAACCAGCACTGAGTGAAGGCTCTGCTGCTCTCTTAAGCCCAGCACTGATTAGAAACATTATTTTCTCCTGTGTAGGCTATGCCGGTTCTCTACGAAGATCCTCCCTTGAGGTGATGCACAACTCGCACTAACTAGTGATGGTGAGATGAAGCCTCATGAGGCATTGAACTGTTTGGCCAAATAGCTTCAACAATCCCCACAGTTCATGAAGCCTCGTGTGAATATGTCAGCACCTACTGGTGGAAAGCAGAACTACAGTTAGTAATAAAATCTGTGATTTTTTTTTTGCAATTGTTTTTCTTTTTTTTTTAATAGTTGGTGTGTATTTTTTTTTAAGGGTAAAATTTCTTAGGACAATAATTTAAGGTGCACAGTTTTTCTGCCATTTTAGTGAAATAAACTCAAGCAGACAGTAAAAGAGTTTGTGCAAATCGGGCAATGATGAGCAAAATGAAAGGTGTCAGTCATTTTTATTCAAACATAATAGTTTTTCCAAATTTTCTGGTTTTAATCGGATTGAAAGTTGTGTTCAACCAATCTTTTGGCTAAACCGACCTAATTTGGCAGCGTTTTTACCCAATCTATATTTTTACTAGGGGAAACCAATGCAAATCAGTCTCATTTAGCAAAATAATTAAGTATAATCGCAACTTTCAAAAGTCAAAGGCAGGTCTTGAACCATCAACCTATGGAGAGGGAGTCTGCGTCTAATAGATGATGCCACTTATGTGGAGAATGTTAAAGTGGCTCAGATTTTGATCATTACATTGTTTATTCTCACCAAAATAGTTTTAAGCAATTAGATTGGTTGGGGAAAAAAACAACCAATCTATTCTTAGAATATATCTAAAATTTATCCAGCTGACAGCATCTCTCCTCCAAACTCCATCATCTTCATGAAGCGGTCACGGTAGCGAGGCTTCAGACGTCATAAATTTTGGCCCCTCCCCTAAATGAATCACGCCTCGACACGCGCTTCGGGGAAATGCCTCCACCATTACTCGACACAAGTCTCTAAGCCTCGCCTCATCTCATAACATCACTAGCACTAACCCACACACAGGAACCCTGACAGTATACCCACCTTACCAGTTTCATTATATCAGTTTTGACTGTGTTGACGTCAAAACTTTGGTGGCAGGTGGGGTATTTTGTTGAGTCCTTTTAGGATATTGGGATGATTCGCATTGGAAGGAAAACACAGAGTTTCAAAAAGGGTGGCTACAACAGTAACGTGGCCGCGTAGGTTAGTTTAGACAGAGGACGCTCCATTAAAGATAAAGTCAGGCTGATTCCTTTTGGCATCCTACTTATTTATTGTATTTTACCTCCTAAATTTACAAGAAACACAGAGAAAAACCCTGACCCCTAATAATCATAATAATAATAATGAGACATGTTATGCTAATTGAAAATGTAAAAGTGGTGTAAAGGATGAAATGTATATAACTTATTTAGTTGATAAAGTGTCTGAATACTAGCCTCGTGAAACCATCCTGATCTCGCGAGCTTTCA